TATATATATGACATATAATATTAATATATTATATTTATTTTTATATAATACATAAAATGTTAATGGTCATAGATAAATAGGCCCAGGAAACTGTAGTATTTAAAAGTGCTCAATACACATATGAAAAAATAAAATAAAAGTAAAACTAACATGTAGAACTTATTTAAATAAAGCGTTTAGAGGTCGACTGATAAAAACCACCAGAGGATACTGTAAGGTTGAAACCAAGGTACCAGATTCAGCTGACCTGATTTTTAAAGTATATATATATATATATATATATATATATTGGTATAAATTCTGGTATTTTTTACTCAGTTTTCTAGATCTACCAAAAAATTAATCCTCGAATTTGACACAATTACAACAAAAAATAATCAACATAAATAAGCTGCCTAAATATGCACAATATATTTGTGCACAATATATATATATATATATATATATATATATATATATATATATATATAATTGTTTATTTGGGCAGCAATCCATCTTTCATTCAAGTTTCATTAGAGACAACTGGAAAATACCGTGATCAAGATTTATATTTTATTTTCCTTGTGTTACTATAAATGTTTTCTTTTCTTGATATGCTGGTCAATAGCTAATAGAATATACGAAAGCATTAAGATGTAAAGAACATTTGGATATTATTTACATACTTTATGTCCCGAAAAGAAACATACAATCATTAGAAAACTTGAATAAACTTTGTCGATCTTAGTGGGACCGGAATTTCAACGTGATATGGCCGCATGGTAATTATATTGGTAAGAAAGATTGGATGAAAGCAAATTGAATTAAGCAGATAAATGAAATGCATGGTCATTGAAAAAAACTTCCATAATAATATCATTAATTAACTGAAAACGATGAAGAATAGAAAAAAGAAGAAGAGGAGGAGGAAGAGGAAAGAAACCATATATTATTGTTTACTCTAAAATTGAAGTTACCTTGTAGGCATAACCGAATTGAATAATGTCCCTTTGCGCCTGGCCTGCAACCTCCACCACTCTACTGGAAGATATCTGGAACTCTGTCCAATGGCGAACATTATAATAACTAAATAACGTTCGCTTTTAAAGCGTAATGGAGTCACAGGATACGACATTCTCGACATTGCTAGATTTTGCGCGCTTTTAATATCGGCGTGTCTTTGCATTAATAGCGAATAAAGAGAAACAGAAGGAGTTCAATCTGACATCTTGCTTATGTCTCCCTTTTTGCGAACCTTCATGGAATTTTAAAGTTTTATTTTTATTCATATTATTACTGTGTCCGTGTGTTTCTACGTTTGTATTTACTTTCTTACAACTATACATAAAGACACCAACAATATGTATATAGATAGATAGATAGATAGATAGATAGATAGATAGATAGATAATATTAGTGGTTTATATATATATATATATATATATATATATATATATATATATATATATATATATAATACATAAAAAGTTAATGGTCAAAGATGAATCAGACCAGGAAATGGTAATATTAAAAAGTGCTCAATACATAAGAAAACCTTTTAACGCGTTCTTTCTTTATAATACGTCCGTCTTTTCTTTCTTTCTTTCTTTTTTTCTTTCTTTCTTTTTTTCTTTCTTTCTTTCTTTCTTTCTTTCCCATTCTTTCTTTTGTTCTTTCTTTCTTTCTCGTCTTTTTCATCCATCTTTTTACTATCGCGATTTTCTTTCTTTAAAATTGTCTTTCTTCCTTTCTTTTTTTCTTTCTTTCTTTCTTTCTTTCTTTCTTTTTCTTTCTTTTTTCTTTCTTTCTTTGTTTCTAAATACGTCCGTCTTTTACTTTCTTTCTTCCTTTCCAATTCTTTCTTTTCTTCTTTCTTTCTTTCTTTTCTTCTTTCTTTCTTTCTCGTCTTTTTCATCCATCTTTTTTACTATCGCGATTTTTCTTTATTTAAAATTGTTTTTCTTTCTTTCTTTTTCTTTCTTTTTTTCTTTCCAATTCTTTCCAATTCTTCCTCTTCTTCTTTCTTTCATTCTCGTCTTTTTCATCCATCTTTTTTCCCTATCAGGGCTTCTTGCTTTCTTTCCAATTCTTTCTTTCTTTTTACTTCATACATTATCTCCCCTTACTTTATTCATCCTCTCTCTCTCTCTCTCTCTCTCTCTCTCTCTCTCTCTCTTACTGCATATCAATTTCTAAAACATTCTTCTTCAAATTTCAATACCAGTTCCAATCCTTATTGGATGAATTCTAAAACATCTCTGCACGATTTTCGCACACCTCATCATTTGACCCATATCTCCTGCTAGAATGGCATTCGGCAAAAATGAACGGAGGAAACATTTCTTGTCTCCAGAAATTTAATAAAGGAAAGTAAAATACGAAGGAAACGCAATGGATTATTATATCGGAGACAATCCTCGAAACAGCTGCTTTAACTGATATCAAATAATTATCGGAGCGGCAGTCAATTTATTTGGAAAAAAAACACAGTAGTTGTAGTCGTGGTGGTGGTGGTAATAGCTGCAGTGATTGCTATTCTATTCAAAACGAGGTTGTTTTTCGTTAATAGCAATAAAAGTGTACAAAGGACATTTCATCAGGATATTATGCGAAGTTAAAATTTATGCTATTACTAATATAACAGACCGCCCTGAGTATTTGCTATATAGTTTCTTCACGAGGCAGGATTACTAGATAATGATGTAAACACACAATATTGGCCACATACGGAAAGAAAAAGATATGACGAGTTCGATAGTCGTTTGTGTAATCAATTCTTGCTCCAAATGTTGTGGTGTCCTCCCTCTAAATGACTCTTCCGACTACTATAAGATTAGTAGGAGAGAAGGCCTTGGGGGAACAGTCGAATAGATTGTTTAACTGTCGGAACCCGGATGACGCTTTGCCGAAGGTCAAAGTTTCGTTAGGGGAGGTAGACAGGTCCTGAACCCGTTTATTTGGGTTCTAAGGGAATATTTTTAACCGTGCCTACAGGCTCGGAAAACCCACAGTAAACTCGGCCTTGTGCCACATACATCCCTCGTCTGTGTGGGGTGGGGGGCTGTTAAATATAACAGTCGCATAGATTGTTCAACTATCGAACTTTCTGCCGCGGATGAGTTTCGTCAGGGAAGTTAGACAGTCCCTGATCCCGTTAAATACGGGTTCTACGGGAATATTTTTGGTCGAGCCTACGGACTCAGAGAACCTACGGTAAACTCGGCCACATAGATCCCTCGTGAGGGGGCTGTTAAATATTAACAGTCGAACAGATTGTTCGCACTGTGCTGTCGAGCTCTCTGCCTTGAGCAGAGAGGAAACCAGACGACGCTTTGCCCCAGGGCAAAGTTTCGACCGGGGAGGTAGACAGGTCCTGAACCCGTTTATGCAGGTTTTAAGGGAATATTTTTGACCGAGTCTCCGGGCTCGGAGAACCCACGGTAAACTTCGCCTTGTGCCACATACATCTTTCGTGGGTGGAGTCTGTTAAATATTAACAGTCAAATGGATTGAACGCTGGGTCAAAACGACACACACTCACTAGCCGTGTAATACTCTTCTGTTGTACTTACTGTTTAATATATAATATATCTGCAACACTTGTTTTGTTATTACTTAACCATTTACTTGGTCAAAACACCTAAGCATCTATCTCTCTCTCTCTCTCTTTCTCTCTCTCTCTCTCTCTCTCTCTCTCTCTCTCTCTCTCTATATATATATATATATATATATATATATATATAAAACACAGGATGTCTATCTGTCTGTCTGTGTGATACCTTTTCACTCGAGGTCCATCCAACCGATTTTGACCAAACCTGGCACATACATTGTAAGAGATAGGTTCTTAGCGTAAAAATCGATATTTTAAAAAAAATCAATAATCGATAAAGCCGATCAAAAATCGATAAATTCAACTATTTTCCTCCGATTTGGTTCAAACTCGGTATGCAGGTTACTTACATCATGATGAGCTCTCATTTTTTTTCTACGCCACTGAGTTCAGCGAAAAATCGCTAAAACCGAAAACTCGGGTTCAACACAAATTTTAAACTAAAAACTTCCACAATTTTCAAGCAATCTAATACAAACTTCATTTAATTGTAGCCAACAATAAGCTGATTGTCTAACACATTTAACTTGAAAATTGTCCACTCATATAGTGAAAACCCGCGTAAATAGCGAAAAATGGCGATTTTTACTGGATTCTTTCATATTTTTCGTTGATTTTCAAACAATTTTCATCAAACTTGATATATAAATGTATCCTTTTTTACATCCCTGGTAGCACACTAGCAATCTGAATTTCAAAAACTCTAAAATAATTGTGGTCTGAAGTGAGTCTTCATGTTGCCTGTTTAAACCTTTCATGCCCATTGGTAACTTCGATTGAATAAATACAAACTACTTCTGTAGTAACTGCATTAATTCAAAATGTTTTTTCATGAAAGTACTTTAAAGCAATTGAAGAAGATAGACTCTGTTACATCTAAATATGATGCTGTTTTTGCTCCATTCTATTTGAACGCTTTTTCTGATCGGCCAACTGAATATGGTTGCTCGTAGTAAATAAATTTGAGAATACGACTTGCGTTATGTTTTAACTTTGTCAAGCAGGTCGTTACAACTGGTCAGCGATTTTGATTCTCACTGCGTGTAAATTTCATGACGCCGGTTTTTGTCTAGGCTAAACGTAAGAAACGCGCCTGCATATACATGCATTGAAGCTTTAATCAACGCCGAAGTGGTTAAGTACCTTACATCCCATGATTTGCTCTCTGACAAGCAATATGGTTTCCGCTTTGCCCGATCTACAGATAATGAATAATTTTATTCTTTCTCTCTTTCTCAAAATGTCTCATCTTCTCTTTTTCTCTCCATGTATACCGTCTCTCTTATTTCCTTTGTTCTTTTTTAATTCTCATATTCTCTACTTTTTACCATCTCCCAATATTTCTGAATAATTCTATTCTTCCTTTATTTCTTTCTTTCTTTCTTTCTTTCTTTCTTTCTTTTTCAAAATGTCTCCTCTTCTCTTTTTTCTCTCTCTCTATCCCATCTCTCTCATTTCCTTTGTTCTTTTTTTTATTTTCAAATTCTCCACTTTTTTCCACGTCACTGTTTTTTCTGAATAAATTCTATCGTTTAACTATTTCTTTGCCGCTCTCTTTCTTTCCCTCTCTGTTTCTTTCCCTCTCTATTTCTTTTCCTCTCTCTTTTCTTGCCACTCTCTATCATTTCCTCTCTATTTATTTCCCTTTCTATTTCTTTCTCGCTCATTCTAATCACATGGACAGGAAGAAAAAGAAAAAAATATATAAAATCAACAAATACTCCCTGACCGGACGTAAACCCCAGGAAAATTTTTAATTAACTAACAGCCATCATCTGACGTTTAATCCGCGTATCCATCTTAGGTTCATTTTTTTTTTTTTCCTATTAATTTTCTTCCTTCTCACACTAAAGAGTTCTGGACCGGATCGGTTGGCGAATTGAATCGTAAGAGAATTGAATCGTAAGATGATATCACGCCCGAAGAAGGATCGCGCGAGATTTGAGGTCAAGACGAGGCTTCCCAAGAACAAGATCAGCTAAGAGGCGATGTTAACCAAATTTAGATTGACATCGACAATTCATATCGGATTTCTTATTGAGAAGGGAAAAAAAATGGACGAAATAAAAAATGGCGGTTATTACGTCTGCTTGGCATCATAACCGCGGTTGTGAAATGAAGATTAGATAAAATTAAATGACTGCACACATGTATTCACTCAAATCCGATCATTTAAACAAAGGTGACAATTACAGGATAATCAGCACTAGCGTATAAATACGGCACACATTATACAAATATATAAACGTTAATTCTACGAAGAGGAACCAATATGAGTCAGAGACGATGCTCATCTGGTAAAAACATCAAATTTATCATCAATTGAGCGTCACATTTAACAAGAGAAGGTTTCGAAACGACATTATTATCACGGGCGTTTCTCCAACATTTTCATTAATATGGTGTTCGGTTTTGTGTTTAGAAAAAAATATCATGAAGTAATTGGTTTTATCATTAAAATTTATCGTTAAAAAGTGAGTGGATTACAGGGAATTTTCGGTTCATGACGTCTTTTCAGTGCATCCAGATATTCAAATGGTTTATTGGTTAATGTTTCAGGACGAGATAACCTCATGCAGATTTTTAGCTCAAACATCCTAATGTGTGTGCTGAAAACCACTGTACTGAGAGTAGATCCTTCTTAAACATCACTTACTACTGCTCATGAAAATCAATTCCAAGTATCAAATTCCGTACTACACTCAGGACGCATAACTTATTATAAAACCCAGGTCGTGTGTGTGTGTGTGTGTGTGTGTGTGTGTGTGTGTGTGTGTTTGGTTTATATATTGGATCGGATTTCCTACATTTTTCAACCGATTTCAACAAAACTTCACAGGACTACGTAAAATTACCTTGCGGTGGTTCTGACAGCGCCAAAAATTGGAAAAACACAATTGTTTTTGCACGAAATCAATTTGAAAACATGATTTGTCAAGAATGGAAGGGGGACAACGAGTATCGAGTTATACTTATTATAAAACCCAGGTTGTTTGTGTTTGTGTGTATGCTCGTTTATATATGGGATTGGATTTCCTACAATTTTCACCCGATTTCAACAAAACTTCACTATTTTTTTGGCAGGTAGTGTTTCTTATTGTCTTGCACACTTTTTTCTTTATTTTTACATTCAGAATGCTTTAAAAATTCCATTTACAAGACAATTGTTTATAATAAAACGTAGAATCATAACGATTGAAAACAATGCTTTTGTTTGAGTTTGGGTTTGACCAATTCGTAAAAAAAATAAACTAATTAAGACATGCGTGTCCGTCAACCTTAAACAATAATCTTTGTCAATTTTATTTTTCAGTCTTTATGTTGGTCGATACTTTATCTATTTCAGACTGTTACATCCCCAGGCAACGCCAGGCTCTACTGCTAGTATATATATATATATATATATATATATATATATATATATATATATATATATATATATATCGAACACTAAAATTTCATGGTTATAATTTATTTCATTGGGTTTGTAATAACGACCCAACTCCTCCAGGTTTAAATAACAACATTTCCGTGACAGTGTATATGTGGGAGTCGGGTAAACAAGAATAAGAGAGATCTAGAGAGAGGTAGTGAGAAAGACAGAAGAAAAGTAAAGAAGCTTGTGTGAGGGTGAGGAATAACATTTTAAAGAGAGAAGTTAAATTAATGGTTTTAAGGAGTGAGGTTTAGATGTATACGAATTATTGTCAGCAGCATAAATTGACTTCCGATTCGTTGGCCTAAATTAAAAAACAAACAAACAAAGAAAACAGACAACGGAAAAGTATGAATATATTTGTTGTGACATTAGATACAAAAAAGGGGGAGAAGCGGGAAACAAGGTGTGAATGGAAATCATTGAACGATCCAATCTTTTTGTTTAGCTAACATTTATTTTAGCGATGTATACATGAAAAATTATCGTCTGGCTTAAATTTACTAAACTTATATTGCTATGAAAGGAGAAGACGAGAGAGAAGAAGAGAGAGACAAAGAAAAAGGTTGGAAAGGAAAGAGAGAGAGGTAAAAAGAGTGAGGGACAAAAAAGGGGGTTTTAATAAGAGAAATAATGTGTAATCAAGAACATTTTGAAAAAGCACAACACACACACACATATATTTTGAACAATAAAAAAATATTAAAAAAGTAAAATCTTTAGACACACTGGGTTGTAGATTAATATTCTTTCGTTTTTTTTATTATTATTTTATTTAGATTCCTCGACTAGTTTCGACCAAAATGGCCATCATCGGAAGAAAAATATCTCTGCTTGCTGGTAGCAGTAAACTACAGGAATGAATGTCTTGATGGAGAAAATGAACTTTTGTCTGTAGTTTTCATTTGTTTTTTATTTTTTTTTTATCTTTTTAACATGAATCTTTTAACATTTCTTGTGTTGGTCAAACAGTCTCTTTTAAGTTGTTATTTGAGATAAGAGCTGGATGGATCTATGCTTCTCTGAATTCCTTTGGTCAGTTTGACAGTTTTATTGGTCCTGGAGAGGGGATGTGTCTCTGTTAAGTGTTTATGTGTGTGTGTTATTTGGTTCTTAGGGAGTGAGTGAGTATATGTGTAAGCGTGTATATTGCTGTGGGCGTTATCATTTGGCTCATTAGGGAGTGAGTGAGTATGATGTCTGTAAGTGTGTATATTCGTGTGGGTGTGTGTATAAGTGTATATATATTCGTGTGGGTGTGTGTATATATATATATATATATATATATATATATATATATATATATATATATATATATATAAATATATATATATATATATATTGTTGTAGAAGTAGTTTCACAGTGGAGGCTTGTATTTGTATTAAGTCGGTCCTAAAATAGGTTCGATGTACAAAACGTTAGGAACTTGATCTAATAGGTATAACGCAAAGAAATCTCGTTGTGGTCGCTGATACTTTAGTATTCGACTAACGGTCGTTTGGCATCGACTGACTGACCAACTCACTGAGCGACTCAGCGACTCCTACTACTCCTACTTATTATAGGTGGGAGAGTCTATTAACTATAGAATAGGGTGTTCACTATAACACACACACACACACACACACACACACACACATATATATATATATATATATATATATATATATATATATATATAATTGTGTATTTGGGCAGCAATCCCTCTTTTATACAAGTTTCGTGTTTCGTTAAAACGACTGACAAGGTAGTGAGTTTAAGTTTTATTTAATTTTTCTGGAACATAATTTTTCCTGAAACATGATGTAGAAATTGTCAAAATATTATGTCTTTGCGCTTTCGGCTATTCTTTTAGCCATTATCAAGGATGGTTTAATTTTTAATTTTAATTGTATGTATGAATTCTTTTACATATATATATATATATATATATATATATATATAGTTACAGGAATATATTTTTTTTTTTTTTTTTTTAAATACGGTCAGCGTATTGTTGTCCGTGTTCTTAGTTGATGTTATTGAGTGTTGGCTTTTTCATATTTATTAATGATGTTGCCATTAGTGCTAAGCTTTATTTTACATGCGGATGAGGCTATTATATTTGTATTGTCTACGAGTATAGACAAGTTAAAAAAAATATTTAAATTTCAGCACTCCAGCCTCTTCAGTGGTTTTCTCTCAGAAATTATAAACGTTGCTTGCTTTTTATATCTCATCCTGCCATCGTATAAATATATAATTCCATCAACAAAAATGTTACTTTAGTCTGAAGAAGTCCTTCTAGAGGTCGAAACGCGTTACACAGATTTTTTTTTTTTTTACTTTTCATTCATTTGTCTAACAAAATGATTTTTAGCTGCTGATTTTTTTATGGCAGTGGAATCCATATTTACATCAGTGTCTTACTCACAATTTGATTTTTTGTCGTATTAACTTAAAGCGAGAAATGGACATGCCATTTTTTAAAATATATATTTTATCTATATGCGATATAGATACAAATATATAAAATATATAAGTAAATGCTCTGTTTATAATAAACGGTATTAACAACATTTACTGGCCTGAAAGTCCGAAAAATTTTCATAGAAAATATGTGTCCTCCGACAGGAATCGAACCTATATCATATGCTTGACGTCATATCGCCTGACGTGCTATACCAGTTTAGCTACAGAGGAGCGTCGGGATAGCAAGGTTAAATTACTGCTTTTAAACTACAATTTTCCATGATTTCCCTCGAATGTTCATATCTGCTCGAAGCATATCTAAACGTATACACATGACGTCACACACTACGACATGGACAAAATCCGACAATTATTTTTTAATATATTTTATTGTTATACGTTACTTATATAGACAAAAATATTTAAGTAAATGCTCTGTTTAAAATAAACAGTATTAATAACATTTACCGGCCTGAAATTTGAATTTCGTAGTATGGACATGTTACTCTATCGACGAACAAATTTACATAACTACCGAAATTGGTAGTCTGTAAATTGGCATTTATTAATAATTCCGGGAAAGTCAATTACTCATATTTTAGCTCACAAAGACTTTGATATTCTTAATAACCGAACACCACCCATAGGCATATGTGTAAAAATGCACAAAGACGTAAAATCGTATTTATAGAATCAAAAAGAGCGCACGCCTATATTCGACTAAACAAAATTCATGTGCTTACATGAAAGGCGGCACGCTCTTTCTCGCGCATGCGTTGTGGAGAAATTTCTCTGTCAGTAAAATCTGACTGGTCGATATTCACGCCTTCTGGTGGCAACAGTTGCGCGATCCAAGCGGAGAGAACTCAGTATCATATGACATTCTTGCTTCAATGGACCGCTTATGTTACCAATATCAGTCCCTCTGGGCAGGTAAAGAAAAGAATGGAATGGTTGTTACAGTTCCAGGGGTGAGAAGGTGATCATCTCCCGAGGTTAAACGTCTCGAGAGAAACTGAAGAGTAAATTACCTGATTCCCAAAAGAAGAACAGACACAACTTGGGAAATGAAAAGAATAAAGAAAAAAAAAAGGGAGACATGATAGACTTGATGTATTAGTAGTAATAGCTGCTATGATAATGACTATAGTCGAATATTTTCACACGAAAAAAGATGCTGATAAAAGCAAAGATGTCAGAGATGAAAGTAGAAAGCCAATTTAAAGGAGAGTACAGAAGAAATGAAAAGCGAAATTTGATTGGACGAAAATGAGAGTGGTAGAAAGAGAGACTGATTGCTTCCATACACGTGATGACAAGTTTTCTCAAGTCATTATGCTGACACTATATAATAAGATTAGCTTTCTACGATCTGTGGCCAAATGGAAGGAAAGAGAAAAGGTTTTTGCACATTCACAACACTATGTTCCTCTCTAGCTACATAGCTAGCTGATATATATATATATATATATATATATATATATATATATATATATCAGTCTGTTCATATGTCTCTATCTATCTATCTATCTATCTATCTATCTATCTATCTATCTATCTATCTATCTTAGCCTGTTTAGTTCTATCTATCTATCTGGAAAATTGGAATACACGA